CCCCCACCCCCTGTCACCCTTTAGTCTCCCTGCAGTAAATCTCCGCTAGGTGAACCGCATTATTATTCCCAGAGAGCGTCACAGCTTAAAATCGAGGAGGAAACTGACGCTCATCTTACATTTTAGCGACAAAGAACGCGTGTCATCTTCCCCTGTCCATTCTTTAACCTCTAACTAATCCATCCATTAATTCACCAACTCCCATTTTTTTTTTCTTTTTCTCCCTCCATAATTCGGCTGTTGGAGGAACTAAACTAACTTACCCCAGATCAACCCCAAAAGATCTAGACCGTCTATGGCTATACCAAAGCATTCGTGGAAGGCATCGCATCCCACCCATTCATTCATTCATTCACTCCCAATGTCTGATTTACACATCAGACAGGGGTCATAATTATATAGCTACCATTCCCTATATTTTCTTTCTTCCTCAGAACTCACCGGTGCTGACCTGCTTGATCTGATTGAATTGGGATGCTTCAAGGAAACACCCCCCCCCCCAAAATTATCTTCTTAAATTATTGCAGCTGACTGCCGGTTTCAGCCGTCCTCCTAGACCTGAAGATCCTCTCAGGTTCCCTTCTGTGCGGGCATTTTCATCGCAGCAATAAAAGATTTTAGTCCAGTTTTTTTATTGTCTAGATTTCCCTTGTTATTAATTATTATTAATTTTTTTTTTTTTTTTTTTTTTTTTTTTTTTTTTTTTTCGTTATCTGTAAACCGCCGTACCGTATTTGCAAAATCGTGGAAAACGGAAATGGAAAAATAAACCGATGCAAGGATACATCAGGGACAAGAGCTTGCCTAACCGCCGCCCGGATTTCGTTTCTTGGGGCCGTCCCCGGATTAACTAAGACAGATTACACACGGCGATCACCATTCATTCACTTTTGCCGCGGGACCTTCAAAACCTATGCTTGAAGATCGGGATGGGGTTCACAACAATTAAAAAATAAATAAAAGTACCCCCTGGGTTTTTTAAGGAGCATTTTGTTTAAGGGAAAAAACAAAATTGTTTTTCCAAAAACCCCCCTCCAAACATTCAAAAATGGGAAAAAATCTAAACGCTCACCCCCTTTTGAAAACACCCAGCACACAAAAAATTTGCCCC